CTGAATATGTGATAAACGGCACAATATAGAATTTTGATTACTCAACCTCGATATGTAGTTGAGAACAATCCAAAGGCACTCGCCTTCACAGATGACCCATTACTTCAACTAATGAGGCAAAGAGGTTCGATGTTATTCTGCGGCAAGAGCGACTTCCTTTGATGGTTCGCAAGTCTCTCTGCTGTACTAAACAGACACTCGCACGACATTCAAGTAGCCGGGACACGTGTCACCTTCGGCACTTATCTGGAGTTACAAAATTTCGCCCCTAACATCTGTATAAAGTTAGCTCTTAATACAGGTGTACTTCTCCGCGTCCGTGTGGTCAATGCGTTTAATTTTTATTTTCTTTTGGTTTGTAAAAGTTTTACCAATTAACCGGGGAACAAATTAATCGCGACTAAAGCATTCATCGATAGGTTATTCGATCAATTGCCCAACCCTACTGCGAACCCAAAAATGGGGCTGTGTATTCTTCATAAACATAGATATTTTAATGGGGATGAATGCCCATTAGAGAAGAAGAGCTGGTAGAAATCTCATCAAAATCGATTTTTGTTATTTTTAGTTAATGTGAGGAATCTTTTTTATTCGGTGCTGATCATGTGTACCGTACCACACGAATACATGATACGAGGGTGATTCAATAAATAAGGTGCATTTTTTTGTATAAGGACTTCTAATACACATAGAAGCTTACTTTTTAGTTATTTTTATTGTTTTACTACTTTTTTACGTGGATTTAATTTCTTATGCAGATTACAAACAACACTGTGAGAATTTAACCGAGTAACAAAGATGGCTGACCAAGAAGCATGCTCCAGGATCGAACAGCGGTCAGTTATCACGTTTTTGGTTGCTGAAGGGTGCAAACCCGTTGAAATCAGGGGTGGAACTCATGAAATGTACCTGGGAGCAGCCACGGGAGCAGCTGAAACAGCTGTTTTGGAGCAGATTGGGAGCAGCTAAAACTACGTTCTGGAGCAGGCTAGGAGCAGCTCAGATCAGTTTTCATTGCACTTCAGCTTGCGTCTTAGACAAGCACGGGAGAAATTTCAATCGTACTTAGCAGAACAGATGAACATGAATGGTTAGGGACCTAGGTAGATGGGATAACAGTGTAACAGATGCGAAAACTTGAAACTTTGTGAGCCTTAATGAGAATCAAAAAGCCAGTACCCTGTTTCTCAAGATAGCGTTCTTGATATTTTCCGAGCGGCTTTCAGCTGCTCAAAATGCAAACCAGCACTGCTTATCGCACAACCCACACGTGCTTGACATAGTAATTATATGTGCGAACCCCGTGACGTGCGCAAGCAATGGACGTGCAGTTGCACGGAGGAACAGGGCAACAAATTTCGCGTTTACCCCATTGTGCAACTCGATTACGAAGCAGCAGACTACGATTAACGAAGTTATCGTATTTGAAGCGATAAGCAGGAGCAAGGTTAAAGTACGCCGAGCAGATCTATCACTCGCAAAAGAGCTGCTGGCCGGAAAGGTTTCGGATCGGACCGCGTTTCAGTTCAATCAAATCACGATTTATCTTGCGAGAATGCGGTTCCAACTTCTAACGACGAAGTACTAAAAGGAATATCTTGCTCATTTGTTTTCAACTGGCTGACGTCCGGATCCCGGGCCGCAGAGCCTCAGGCAATCTGACGCTTAACGACTCGACCTCACCTCAGCCGACTTGCTTAACCGCTTATGGTAGAAGAATAACAATCCAGTCGCAGGTGGTGTGGCGCTTAGAATCCGAGTATTTTCGCGCGCTTCCGACTCGGGATACACAGGGAGAATAAACAGAACAAAGGATTGCAAGGCCGACCAGGCTGAACGCGCTCATTGTTGCCAATCGAGTCAATAAAACCGAAACCAAGACAAAATAAAAAGTTTCTTGGCGCACGTTTTGCGATCTGGCGCATAATGGCGCGAGGTATTGGCTGTGGCGCAGTTTCTGCAACATGGCGCAGGATGGCGCAGACATATGCGTCTGGCGCAAAATGGCGCAAATGGCGCAGCCGTTCCACCTCTGGTTGAAATTCATAGGAGAATGTCAACTGTGTATGGTGCCACATGTTTCAGCCAGAAAAATGTCTACAAGTGGGCTAAATTGTTTAAAGAAGGACGGAGCAGTGTTGAGGATGAAGACAGGCCTGGGAGGCCTACAGAAGTGAGATATCCTGAGGTGATCGAATCAGTCAATGACCTCATTCAGTCTGACAGAAGGGTGACAGTGGATGGCATTGCAAGGACTTTGAGCTTATCTGTGGGGACAGCACACAAAATTGTCCATGATGACCTTGGCTACTCGAAGGTCAGCAGCAGGTGGGTGCCAAAGATGCTTACTGCGGAGCACAAACAGAGGAGGGTCGAGTTGTCCCAGCAGTGTCTTTCCCGCAATGAGAAGGATGGTGATGAGTTTCTGCAGAAGGTGGTCACATCTGACGAGACATGGGTTTGGCACTATGAGCCTGAGTCTAAACGACAGTCCATGGAGTGGAAGCACGCAGGCTCTCCAGTGAAGAAGTTCAAGTCCCAGCGGTCCACTAGGAAGGTGATGCTCACCGTTTTTTGGGAAATGCAAGGCCCAATCACCATTTCATTCCTTGAAAAAGGAAGCACTGTGAACAGTGCCAACTACTGTGAACTGCTGAGGCAGGTCAAGAAAGACATGAAGAACAAACGCAGAGGTCATCAGTCAAAAGGAGTCATCTTGCATCATGACAACGCAAGGCCTCACACAGCAGCCTTAACGGTGCAGACCATCAACGAGCTCGGCTGGGAACTGCTCCCTCATCCCCCTTATAGCCCAGACCTTGCCCCTTCGGACTTTCACCTGTTTGGTCCATTGAAAGCGTTCACGAGAGGCACGAAGTTTGAAAGTGACGATGAAGTCAAAAGTGTTGTGAGCGACTGGCTGAGACATCAGTCTAAAGATTTTTACGCTGAGGGAATAAGGAAGCTTGTGCACAGATGGGAAAAGTGTGTGACAGTGCTGGGAGACTACATAGAAAAATGAAAAAAAAAAAGTAAGCTTCTATCTGTATTAGAAGTCCTTATACAAAAATATTCACCTTATTTATTGAATCACCCTCGTATTATGTCATGGCGATTAGAGGAGAAATACCGTATTAGCATTTCCAGTGTTTGAAATATCTGCCAAATTTAGTCACTCAAGGTGTCATGTTTGCAGTTTGTTAGGAAAATAGCTATGACGAGAACTAACAATTAGGATTTCTAGCTACATAACCGCACCCCTACAATGCTCCTAAAAAAAAAAAAAATGTAGTAGACTTGTAATACTACCACGAAATGATTTTTCAACTTCGCTTTCCTCAACTCACAAATTGCGCAGCGTTATCAAAGGTACAGGCGAGGGAAAGGAGAACGCCCCTCTCGCTCAGACTCTTTTGAGTACCCTCACGTCGCCATCCTCTCCCTAGAAGATTAGCTCGTTGCTCAAAATTCAAGCAGAAGTCCCCCCCCCCCCCCCCCCCCCCCCCCCACACACACACACACACAGACTTTTACCGCCCGTAGCTTCCGCAGTACTGAGCTCAACTAACTGTCCACCGTTCACCCCTAAGCTGACAGTGCTGTGGAAGCCACGTGCCCTTCGGGCCAGTCACACTCCTATCTTTTTCCACGCGATCACGCCCCGCTCGCGCAGAGAGGGAGTTTTAGTAGACCGTGTTTCCCGCTCCGCTAGCCCTCCGCTACGAAGAAACCGCCACTGCGCCTGCGCGCCGATGGCCTTGGCTGTAGAGTTCCGGGTAGCGGAGGGGCTTAGCGGAGCGGGAAACACGGTCTACTAAAACTCGCTAATGAGGTCAGGTGATGAAAGGGAGGCGTCTGATTGGTCCGGCAAGCGCGTAGCTCCCACCGCGCTGTCAGCTTAGGAGCGAACGGAGGAGATCGTGTCCAATGCGTGAGCTGGGGCAACACCTCACAACGCCCCGCTTCGGAGTCGGATGGCACCAGCTAGAGTGCCTTCATGTGCGCTTCGCATAGAGTGATGCCAACTGCCTGTTTCCCTTTCCCACACACTCTTCCACCGCCATTTTGTTCCTCTCATTGTTTCCCTGTGCGCCGGAAAGTGGCCTTTGTGTCCATCGGTAATCCCATCCGAGGGGGAAAATGCAAATCCTCCCTCCGTGGGTTCCACAACGCTGCTCCGAACTTCTGAGATAAGGTGCTTGTTTCTGGGAGGGTTATAAGCCCCACGGATTATCGCCGAGGAACAAAATGGCTGCTGGTTTGTCGGCGAGTGGTATTACAAAGGGTGGCATCACCCTAGCAAAGCGCACATGAGGGCTCCCTAGCACCAGCTCGATGGCGAGTCCGTCCTAGGGTGCCTTCATGTGCGCTTTGCTTAGGGTGGTGGCATTTCGCCATTTTGTCACACACATTTATTTTTATTTGTTGTTCGGAAGCGCGTGAAAGAGCGTGTCCCTGCACGCGCTTGTAGCGCTGACTGTGCTATGGCGACATTTTGTTTTCGTCGATTTCTTTGTATTTTTCTCGTGAGGGCGTGCTGTCGGCATCTGGTACTACAAAGGGTGGCATCACCCTAAACAGAAGGACATTGAGGCACCCTAGTCCGTCCCGTTGATTGGACACGAGGCACAGCCGAGCACATACGCAGCACTCGTATCCAATCCGTATCTTCGCTCCCATCTCAACCTGATGACGCAGAAGCTTCTCGTGCACAGGCCTTCGACGATTCGAGGTGGTGTTGGCTGCACCGCGGACGTACCACAGTGAAAAGGCGGATGGCTTTCGAAACGAGTTCCGAAATAGGTCGCCCTTTTCAAAATTCACATGTTCGTACCGAGAAGCAGTCAATAATAACTCATGGAGAATGGTTTATTATCGTTATTCTTGTCCAGCTCGCTTGCACCTTTGCATTAACTGAATTACCATGAAAAGCAGGCTTTTTTTTAGCAAAATATTTATGAATTTGTTTATATTACAGATTAGGCAATAACATAAATATATTTTGTGAATTAAAAATGTCGACCAGTCACCCTTTATTTGATGATACTTGAAATCACAGGTAACAGCGTATACACAAAAAAGTACAACGGACAAAATAATTCCCGCTAGAACTATAAGGCGTCTACATAAAAACACATCGCATAAAATAAGGATTAATACATAACATAGCGCTGTTCTAGAGCAGCACTACGATGCTGAGACGACTTAGAAGCGCTGCCCAAGTGAAATACAGACGTGAAGCAAACATACCCATTGCTGACTCCTTTTATTCAATCATTATTTCGAGCATTTTTCTGACAAAAAGCTTTTTGCTTATGTGACTGACAGTTGCTGCCAGATTCGACTAACACCTATTGTAGACTTAGGTTATTAGTAGAGTACAATGAAAAGCACAAGCTAATCCTTTAATACATTTGTATTACTAAAGAAAAAAATAACAAAAAAGAAGTATAAGAATAATTAATGTGTTCAATGTATGTTTAGCCAGCCTCAATGGGCATCTCGATAAAGTGGGAATGCTACAAAGTAAATGAGGGCATTGGTACACTAACAGGTGACTGTTTTGCCTTTGGTTCCTTTAGACCTTCCAAGGAAAGTTCCTTCTCCCCTTGGAAAAATAAATGACTGAGGGATCAGCATTCAGTTCTATTTATTTTCAGTTGAGAGTGGCGACACATTACCATGATGAGTGCATCCTTAAAGAGGAAGAGTATAAACTGCCACCATGTTCTGACAAGCAAATGAAAGTTGCTTTCATACCCAAATCACCATATAAGTTACTAAGAAAGCTTATTAAAAGTGTGCAAAAAACATCATGCACAACGAAATAATGATACAAAAGACAGACTTAACATGTTGTTTACCAAATGGCAAAGCCACTTCCGGATGATCAGCGAACACCAGATTATCTTGGTGGTTTCCACTATTTTTTGGGAGTCTGCACCCCTCTGACAAATCGAAGATAGTCAAGAGTCGGGGAAGGTGGCCAAGAATCCGGACGCTGCGACATGTCTTTCAGATTTCTGAGCATGCAACAGGCTCTTGGTAAACTGACTAGGCCCTGGTCAAAATGTAACTATGGCGACCAAAAGCTTGCATTTATTCATTTCCATTTACTGCTTGTCTTGTAAATGATTTGCCTTTCAATTGAAAAAAGTGTATATGATAGCATATTTCGTACAGCGCCAAACACACAAAACGGATTACAACCCCCAAAAATCCACGGCAGCGTGTCCCAACCCGCCTTCGCACAAGAGGCACATACTGAAGCACGTCAGCGAATATTGCGCAGTTAACGTCCTAAGCCGCTAGCTGGACCTTACGTAGCAGACGGAGCACCTCGTTCACATACTGATCCGGGTACTTGCCCATATGTTGCACGTGCTTCGAGTCGTCAAACGTGCAGAAGGCCACGTCCAGGCCCTTCTTCCGCCAACAGTCAGCTACCCTGATGTTGTCTTCCAGTCCGCTGACCTGGTCTTCCTTGGAGTTGATCATGAGTGCAGGACACATGAGCGGGTTGTCGTGGAAGGCCCTGGAGGCGGCCTTGTAGTGAACGGTGGACATGGGGTACATGATGACGCTCTGCACGCGGATCATGATCTCCAGAACCTTCCGCAGGAACTGGCTCTTGGTGAGTGCTGTCGGGAAGCCCGTGGGAATGCCCGTGTAGTCCACCAGGCTGTCGTAGACCTGCGCCTTGAACCGGGGCGCCAGGTCTAGGTAGCGACTGCCTCCCTTGCGCATGCGGACGAGGATCTCGCCCATCTGGTACCCTCCCACGCTGAAGGCGTGCACCACGAGGCGAGCGTAGTTGGGGTTGTTCAGCAGAAAATCCAGCACCATCTGTGCTATGTACTGAGAACCCTTGTTGGTTGGGAAGGCCAGCTGCATCGGGTCGGTCTTCACCGTAAGTACGTCGAAGCCCTGGTCCATGTACAGGTCGTGGTAACGCTGAAGATGTGCATCCTTGGCCTTCATCCATGCCAGCACCACCACCAGGGGATTCTGGCGGGCATTTGCATCGTTCACCGCCTCCACCCTCGTGGTCGCAGGTATGTTGTGGCCCTTAGTCGGTGCCGTGTTGTCCCGAACCGGATTAGAGTGTTCGCGACTGCTGACGACACCCTGGGCTTCGCAAAGCAGCGGCTGTTTGCTGGTCAGCCGAAGCGTCATGTTGGCGTTGATGGTTTCGGTGCGAGTGGCAGTGCTCAGGTTTTGGAAGGACAGGCAGGGCACCAACACCTGCGGCCACGAGGCAGAGAGGAGAGAAGGAAATAAAATGATGTGAGCGTGGATGGAACGAGAACTGGTGCTACGACCAACGCGCGTTGAATGGAGAAGGGAGCGAACAGCAAGAGGGCAGACAGGCAGGAGAGCCATGCAGACGAAAACGGCTTAAAAAAGAACCTCGTTCTGCCTCCGAGCGAGCCCTTGCAATGGAGTCACCGGTGTACCGCGCGGCCACGACACCGGGACAACCGGCTCCCCTAGGCCCGGACCGCGAAGGAATTCTGGTGTCACGGTCACGTGAGAAACATCAGAGCTCTGCCTTTGCGCCTGCGAAGAGTAAAGCTAGTGGAAAGCAAGGGGCCATAAGGGAGTGTGTGAACACTGCAGCTTGACACAACAGCATCACTGGGAAACCACAATTCCCGCCAGCAAGATTCTCGGCCGCCATTCATGTGACCACTGCCAGTTTGGGTATGGTCGTGTACGCTGCCAAGCGCTACTCAAAACAGGATGTCTGAGCCGGATCTACTTGCGTGTCTAGAATTTAAGAAAAGATTTCGGCCGAATGAAAGAGGAGAACTAGGGTCCACAGGGTAGCTGCCGTTTCACAGCAGATCTCATAGAGGAGAACAGTAATATTCATTCTTACAGAAAGAGATTTCTTCAGGAAGAGGTGACTGCATGTATGGACAGAATGAAGATGTAAGCACTGCCACTGTATACACTACATGGCACAATTACATATTGTTCCATGAACAAGATATAACGGAAAATGGCACTATGACTGGTGTGAAGAGCCCCGCAACTGGAGCGTAATATATATTCCACCCAAGGCTGTCGAAGTTGGTATCTCCCATGCTGTGACTCAATTATTTCGAGACCATCATTATTGCCATTATTACCACCAGAAGCATCGATAATCGGGAGGCCCCACGAACAAGCGAAAATAATGTTCATTCAGCTGTTGCGTCGATTTATGCCATCAATTTCTAGATGATATTTCCATGCTACCATTGCTCCCAAGGCTGCCTATGTAGGTGATGGATGCACACCAGCAACAATTAACACATCTTTATATATAAAAAAAATATTTTTATTTGATTTTAACTATTTCAGCCCCTGACAGAGCAGTCAAGGATGAATCTGTCAGCTGAAACTACGCAACCTGCCTCCAGAGCCAGTTAACCCACCAATGACAGTGACAAGTGTGCGGTCAAGGCACAATATTAACTGTCATTGCATATTCCTATAACACAGAGAGTTCACCCACCGCTTGTGACATCTGCCTTGGCGCAACAAATATTCCGCTTGCCATGCTTGAACCATAAAATTTCTTTTTTCAAGAGTTTGTCGAGAGTGATAACTTTGATGGTCGGGAAGGTAAGAAAGCAGGGGTGAGCTACCAGCTACAATACTCCAAGGAACCAAGGGATCAAGGAATGTGAGTGAAAGACATTTACAGAACTGTGAAGGATGACCTACTTCAGTGGTAATTTATTCTACTTGTACCTTTAGGACCACCCTCCCCATATTCTGGGAAATCAGGACACTCATACTCACAAACTAAATTGCCATAAAAAAAAAAGTAAATTGCATGTCTTTGAAACTCGACTTGTTAGATAACTTTTCGATCAGTCAGTCGTGATGTTCTTTTACCCAACAAAACACATAGCTGCATTGTAGTTCTGCCACATATTAGCCCTTTCTAGGGTACGACATGGCAGAATGCAGCAACCTTTCTTGCTGCCAAGCTGATGTCATGGGACCAAACTGCTTGGTGTATGCCTACTTGACTCAGATTGAGTAGAGTCGAGTGGATGGGTTAGAAACCCACAGACCACTACAGCGGCCACCTTAGCTAGCAAGCGGCACTGTGGCTATCTGTTAGCAACACAGAATACAAGAGGCTGGCTAGTCTGCCTATTTTTAGCCCACAAGCCAGACGACCTTGCGAGTGAAGTGCATCCTGCTGGCAGGATAAGAAAGCCGTAGAACTACGAGACAATCAAATCCGTAAAAAGAACACAAATGGTATATATACAAGAAAACAATAAAAGCACAGTGCAACCTCAGTAGTTACGAGAAAAAAGTAGATTTGTGACGAAAATAATCCCTGGAGAAGGGAACAAGAGGGGAGAAGGACAAACACAAATCTCCAAACACAACTAGGTGACTGGTGTACGACCGAAAAAATCCCCCTGGTCCGAGTATCGAACCCGGGACTTCTCCATTTTCAGTGAGCGCTCTACCAACTCAGCGAACCAGGGGTAAGACGTCAGTAGAACAAACAGGTTTTATCAGCCGCCACCAGTCTAATACCAACAAGGGTGAAAGGCTTGCATTTGAAGGTTATGATTATAATGCAATCAAATGCAAAGGTGCAAGTAAGCTGGACAAGACTGACGAAAATAATCCCTGGGGAAGGGGAACAAGAGGGACAAAGGACAAACACAAATCTCCAAACACAGCTAGGTGACTGGTACGCGACTAAAAAAAACCGCCTGGTCCGGGTATCGAACCCGAAACCTCTCCACTTCCAGTGGAGCACTCCACCAACTGAGCTAACCAGGGGTCAGACGTCAGTAGAGCAAACAGGTTTTATCAGCCGCCACCAGTCTAACACCAACAAGGGTGAAAGGCTTGCATTTTAAGGTTAGGATTATAATGCAATTAAATGCAAAGGTTCAAGCAAGCTGGACAAGAATGACAAAAATAATCCCTGGGGAAGGGGAACAAGAGGGACAAAGGACAAACACAAATCTCCAAACACAGCTAGGTGACTGGTGTGCGACCAAAAAAATCCGCCTGGTCCGGGTATCGAACTCGAAACCTCTCGACTTCCAGTGGAGCACTCTACCAACTGAACTAACCAGGGGTTAGACATCAGTAGAGCAAACAGGTTTTATCAGCCGCCACTAGCCTAACACCAACAAGGGTGAAAGGCTTGCATTTTAAGGTTATGATTATAATGCAATTAAATGTAGAGGTGCAAGCAAGCTGGGCAAGAATGATGAAAATAATCCCTGGAGTAGGGGAACAAGAGGGACAAAGGACAAACACAGCTAGGTGACTGGTGCGCAATTGAGAAAATCCGCCTGGTCTGGGTATCAAACCCGGGACAGCTCTCCATTTCCAGTGGATTTTTGGAAGTTTAATTTCTGCCATTCTTTGTGCCAATATAATATAAGATGACGAGTCAAGACATATTTTAATATGACAAATAAAAACAACCTTTTTTTTTTTAGTTTGTGATGTAATTAGTTACGGATCCATTTCATGCTGTAAATAGTAATCACGTAACACAACCCATTTTTTCCTGGGAATAATTACTGGAATAAATTACTTCCCTTTTTGATAATGAAGTACAGTGGAATTTCCTTAATTCAAACTCGTGGATAACTCAAACCAACATGCAGGTCCTATCTTGTGTTTCTAGGAAGAAAACTCCCAGTAATTCAAACTTTGTATTATTCAAACAAAGTTTTGGTCCCCCTCGGGTTCAAATTAACGAGATTCCACTGTACAAGATTGCCTCCTTCTGTTTGGAGTCGTCTTAATTGAAAAAAGACTAAAACATGAACACATCTTTAGTCAGTGGGCAGCCCAACTCAAGGAGGCACTGAATCCAGGCAGCCATCCATCTCAACACCATCATTCGAACCGAAGCAGCCCACGCGATTTCGCCGCACTGGCCCTCTGGTTTTGGTATGACTTGACAGTTTTGCAGCAAACATTTGATTCTGCAGTGAACAATTAATTGGGTGCAGTCTCCACTTTATTCCAGCACTTTAATATGAAGAGAAAATAAATCTATTTTGATATTTCAAGATGATGCTACATTATGTGGAGTGGCAGCTGGACGAAGTGCATGCTTGGCCCGGGCTATACCCTGTCCACCGCTAAGCTGACAGAGTTGTGGAAGCCACGTGCTCCCGCCCATACCCATGTGCAGAGGTTAGGGGATTAAAAGGAGACGGTCGATTGGTTCGGTGGGCGCGTAGCTTTCACTCTGGTCTTAGCTTAGGGGTGAATGGAGACAGGCACGTAGCCGAAAGGGAGGGGGAGGGGGGCCCTTGCAACAAAATCCTGGCTGTGTGCCTGAATGGAGTATAGTGGCATCCAAAGCAATGATAAGAAGTGCATACTAAGTTTCACGAGCTTGAAGGAAGAGATACTACATGATAAGGGTTTCTTGGAACCTTCATCACACTATAAGGCTCCTTGAAAACTTTATCATATGATAAAGGTTAAAAGTTCCCTCACACTGTATCCTGAATGTTTCCAGGAACACAAAGCACAGTGAAGTTGGCTCATATTCACCACTTCCCTCTCATCGCATTTGGGAAGAAAGCCAACTTGTCATTCAACAAGGCCAAAAAAAAAAAGAATTCACTTTAGAATGAGTCAAGCATATAAAGAGCTATAGGGCTAATTTTTGTGGGACTTAATTATTGAGTTTAGTTAACCTATATAAAAAAAATTATAGTTATTGAATATTCCTTAGTGCCTTTTTCTGCGGACGAATACTGCCCGTGTGCTCGTTTCTCACCTTGAAACTTGTACTTCTATGCAATTAGAAGAAAAAAAATTAATCAGTTGTACTTTTTAATTAAAAAAAACTTTTTTTTTTTTTTTTTTACTTTAGCTTGAAATGAATTTTCATCATGAAAGACGATCAAGGAAAAGTGTCCATAGCTGCAAAGAACTGCAGTTGTACAAACAGTGCCTCGCGGGCCTAGCGAGCTGCGGGGAAGCAGTTTATTTATTTTCTCTTGAAAGATATAGTTGACCTTAAAACACATCTTAACAGCAAACCCTTGACGCGAGTAGATCAAAAGAGAGCTGTGAATGACAAAGCCACCAAACATTCATGAATCGCAGGGTTTATCGCGAGATCGCCACGCCAGACATAAGCTTTCGCAATTCTTTTTTTCTTTTCTTTTTTTGTATGCCGGTATGCTTTACGAATGTAGGCGTTCAATGGTGTTCAAAGACAGAATGAGAGAATCGCCGGAATTTAAAGAAGACATTGATATCGTGCAGCGGAAAGCAAAGTGATCGTTCCGTACCTTGCAAACGGATCCCAAGTTCTTCTGGTTTTGGGGCCTCATCACGAAGAGCCGGACAAAGCCGCGAAACCCTCGTAGTGCCACGACCATTCTCGCTGGGATGTCGACGAAGAGCGCTCGATCACAAAACGTGCAAGAAACACGGAAGGAAACCCAGGCAGATGCAAATCGGGATGGAAGCACTCGCCCGGCAACTGCAAAGCGTTTCTGATAGGATAATGGGGTAATCAGAATAAAGAAAAGAAACGCTAAGAAACGTAAGAAACGTCAACGACGCCAGCGCCAACAATCACTCCTTACTTTTGTTGTTATTTTGTTGTTATTTTATTACTTGATCTAGAAAATCATCTGAAAAATCAATCGATATTTGCAAATACAATAAAATAAATAAATAATATACAAACTTATTATAAATAAATAAAAAAAAACAGCAAAAACGTGAAACAAAAATTGCCGGAACAACAGCGCCTTTAACTGCTGGTTTTTATTTTCTTTATATTTTTGTTGTTAAATTTAAAATTTAAATATTTATTTACACTATTAGTTTTGAGACAATCGTTCGAAATGAGGTGAATTTTTTTTTTTTTTCCGTTAGTCGCGTCGCGAAGCAAAAAGACCGGCTACCGGCGTCGGCGTCGGAAACACGTGGGGCGATTATTGCAAATGGACGCCATGGCAGAACAAATGGACGTAAGTGCTGCTCCGTTTTCCGAATAACTTTTTAGGTAAAAGTACGCGGAATAGACTACCGGTTCGCGTTCGATTCACACGAGCGTTTTACGAGTCACCCGAAAAGACTATTGTCGACAGTCTTTAATAGAAAATCGGTTCTCCGTCGTGAACCTGTGTGCACCGTCAGAAGCGCGCGATTGAATGACTTGACAAACATTCGTCGTAACATAGCGAAAACAATTAGGACTTGTGTCGAACGAACAAGATGTATAAACCAAATGTTTCATGTTATGAACGTAGTGCCTAAAGGTGCAGTACGTACGGCCTGGTCTATTTTTATTTGCGAGTAACCCTCGCCGGTCTACGGGTTCTTTGTTCAAGAACATGCGCTCGTGGCGAAACCCGCTAAATCAAGAAAAGAAAACGGGAAAAAAGTATAAAAAGAAAGAGCCGACAACGTTAAATTGGTCGAGCTTTCACGTAGTTTCGTAAATAAGCGAAATTAAAGAGCTAATTATTTGTTCGAGGCTTTATGGAGTAGTATTTGATTGAAGAGATGCACGCTTTTCCGTTGGTCATCTCTGAACCAATGTCCCATTATCAAACATCGCTACACACGTTGACGCCGCTTTCTAAAAGTGTAATGTAATAATAATAAAAAAAAAGCCTTGAAAGTACTTAGCACGAATAAATATCGTCTAACTACAAAGCTCGATTTTTCGAGCTTGTTTTTCTGGGGGGAAATTGTAGCAAGCTGGGCACTAGCAGGGCTCAGTCGCACTTGGATTTAAGTTCACTAAACGAGAATATGTCATGTAGCTCTATTAATGCCATAAATATTTTTTTTAGCCTACCTTGATCCGTCTGTGAATGGTCCCTTCTGGCGCACGGACAGCTCGTCTATTGCGTACAACTGCTAAGCCTTTAATTCTTTGAGGCCCCGTAACCTTTCGGGCTGACAATTCCTCATACACTCGATGCTCACCAAGAATCGAAAATATATTTGGCCGGATATGTGGACGAATGGGAGGCAGCATTGTCGGTTCTGTTGCGAAACAATCTCATTCTGACAGCGGAAGTTTCGTTGAACGATCTTACCGGCTAATAACGCCTCTGAGAATGGCAATATTCTGGTGATACTGAGACCGCCCTACTCCTGCATGAGCGTAGGGTGTGTTCATTAAACAATCATCTACAATCAGCTTTATTTTTTTTTTTTTGCCCTGCACCTTTGTTTTTGCTCACTATTTTTATCATGGTTTTCATGCCTGCTGGCACAACTCCAACACTCTCTGTTTAATTTTAAAACTGGACACACATTAATTTTTTTTTTTGCCACCACACACTTGCGAGCAAACTGCGCACGCTGCAGTCTGTTGCAGGTAAAGAAAATCCGAACAAGCTACCCTCACAAAAAAACCTTCCATTCTTTCCACCTTAGCAGAGTGGATGCTGGGGAGGAGGAAACAGCCAATCATGGCAAGCAGAGAGCTTTGTGGGAGGGGCTTGTCCCACTTTTCTTAACCTTTAACAGGCGACGGTCAAGTATGTGTTAGTTTTTGCAGACACCTAGAAGAAAGAAAAATGCCTCGCTGAAATTTGAATGTCGCTATTCGCTAAGCCGATAATTGGGAGAGTCGCTCTTTTAAAGAGCACTTGGCAGGCATCAGAGGATTGCTTCATGGTCCCAAGCAATTACTCACCTTTCTGCTTAATGCCGTTAACCTTGTTCCGAAGGGACAGTGCTGTGGTTGCGGCAAAGTTGCAGTTCCACTTGCAAACGTAGAGGCGCTAAGAGGGGGCTCCTGTTCCTTTCTAGGAGATGCGTTTAGGCAACCATTGCAGTGCAGGGTCCTTGCAACACGCGGAGGTGAGACATGCGAGGCCTACACTGCATCCCGCTCTTGAGAGCCCTGTTTTTAACGTGCTCCAGCCGTTGCTGCAATTTCGAGAGTATGTAGTATGGCAGTGTTGGATACAGCAATATTAACGATGGGTGGAAACATGCATTCGGAACTTCGAAGGACCTTTGGAGGTGCTTCGATTTGACTGGGAGAGTTCTGAAACGGTGTGAATCTGAGTGCAAAAGTGTCTGAGCATTATCACCCTGTGTGTGAGAAAAGTGCATGCAGATTTCGAGATCCAGGGCGAAAGTGTCGTAACATGTTTGAGTCGAGGTGCAGTTTCACCTGTCTACGTAGGTTTACTCCCAGATATTAAACTAAATAGTTTAGTTTTTGCTTCATGTGAGCAAAGAAGTTTCGAGGTGTTGGTACCGCCCTGATTTCTTATTCAATGTCCTTTCCATCGGACTGTTCTTAGCCTTTGGCACTTAAATTTGAAGAGGAACGCATACCATACTCCTTGCAAACATCTGCAGTGCTTACAAAGGCACAAGTGCATGGCTGTGGAAAGTGCCTTCCATGCGTGAGTTCTCGCAAAACGAAGGCATTTGTCTGGGCTTAGCTCGTGCACTGGGGCCCTTGTCTGCACCGTAGACATTTGCGAGTATTCACGAGACTCAATATTTGAGTGCACCATTCATTGCACACTCGGAACGAGGTCACACAGGCTGCCAAGACCTGCAATCTTGAAGGTCTGGAATGCACTTTGTTTTACAATAGCTCCATGCAAGCTCTGTCAGCACGTGCTCAGCAGTCATGGCCACCAATGAATACCCCTTATAAGAACTCGGCATACACTGTTTGCATATTTCAATTGGCACGCTTCGCGACGGTGCTCTTGAATACGGTTGCTCCGGCAGGACACAGAGTCACATTGCGACTGCTGGTTGTCACAGGTGACTCCAGTAGTGACGGCGGCGAAGGCAGAGCAGAACCATGTGGCACCCGTGCCATGCAAGGAGGCATGCCTCCAGGGGGATGGGGGCGGGTGCGTGGCGGCGGCGCCAGGTGCCACGGGAGAGCCTTCTTCCGGGGTGTACTGCTGGCGGTGCCAGAAGGAGATGACTGGCCTGACGACCTTCCGGCCCGAGGAGATGACCTCCAAGGACTACTACTTCGACTCGTACGCCCACTTCGGCATCCACGAGGAGATGCTCAAGGACGAAGTGCGCACGGCCACCTACCGCAACTCCATGTACCACAATAAGCACCTCTTCAAGGGAAAGGTAGGTCGGCCCTTTCGACTAGTCTGCTGAGAGACGCATTGATTGGGCCTCGAGTCTCTGGCAAAATGTGACAAGACTCCTCGGGTCGGGACATTTCGGTAACTCAAGCACCTGCGTGGCACGTGTCCCGTGACGAGCACTAACACGGACATTGAGGGCTGCAAATTGGACACTTGGCGAGAAAGTTGGCGTGATCGCGTACTGCCGCGATTGGGCAGCGCCAAGGTCAAGCACGACACTGGCCAGTTGCAGCGGTCGGCGATTTCGCTGGCGTTTTCACTGAGTATCCAGCTCTGTGAAGTAACTATACTGTTTTACTGAAATCTGACGAACGTCGAAATCTACTGCCTCGTCGGGCCAATTTAGGTGTCTGAGCGAGGCTGGTGACAAATGCATGATCAAGGTGTGCTTCAGTGTTGCAAAGTTGCCACTCCGGAGATGGGCTCAGTTCCCATGAGAGCTGTGTTGATTTTCAGCTAGGGCCTGTGGACTGCTGGTGCGATTCTAGCACACTGTCAAGGTGGCTCTTGCAACAGCATCATTGCACTGAAGGTCACTGAGGGCTTGATTGTCTCACCGGCTCATGCTCATTTGAGGATTCCACAGTGAAGCAACCAAAACTGAAAAGTTTTAAACGGACAAGGTGTTGTTTCTGGCACCGCGAGACATGACAAAGTGGCTGTTGTAACTATGCACGCCTAGCATGTAGCTTTTAACACCAACAAATGTAATGTTTGCAGAACAAAAAAAAAAAAAAAAAAAATTAGGGTGAATCTGCTAAGGATCTCCAAAATCGTACAGTCAACACAAAAGTATAGATTTTAAGGCAGGTTCCAGAATATGGTCCTACAGTTTCTCGTGCTGGCACTGTGGTGATTGCCCTTTGTCGGCGGTTTTGTGCTCTTGCGGCAGTGCATGGAGATTTTGGGCAGGTATATGCGGCGTCGCTTTTAAGTTCTTGTCAGACAAACACCACGCTTACTGTGTATCTGAAGAGTATGTGGTCTGTCTGATGAAGAAAATGGGTGGTTTAAATTTCTGGTGTCTTCTGCGAGTCTCTTACACTTGATCGTGCGATTGATGTCTGCAGTGACATCACTTGCCATGAAGCACTTTGTGCGACCTCGGCTTAGTAGAATGAGTGCTTTGGGAAACCGTTTCGCACACTTTTGCAGTTGTTTCTGCATTTGATAACATCAGCTTTATGCTGCTTTTTCCGGTTACACAATGTAACTCTCAAGAACAATTTTTTTTATGTTTAGGAATTAGAGGAGTGGGAAATGGGGTCCAGTGTCTCAATTCCTAAAAGTTCAAAGGAATGGAATTGACGTAAGCTGTAATTCTCCGGAAGGAAACTGCATTGGAATGCTGTTACTCATTCTGCGACACTGGTGCACTCTTTCTGGAGAGATGTTACATGCTTTTCTCTAGTGCTCTGATTGGCTCTTTGAGCAATAGCATTGTCTTTGATGTAAAATATTTCAGTAGCTTTTCAAGTTACAATGATGTAGGTAACTAGGTAATTATAGACCGGTTTCAGTTTTGCCAGTGTTTTCGAAAGGCTTAGAAAAAATTTTACTATTACAAATGACTTCATTTGCAGATAATCATAATCTAGTAAGTTCATCTCAATTTGGCTTCCGCAGACAACGGTCCACTGAGCTTGCTCTTCTTGCACAGAAAGAATATATCCTTAAGAACTTTGAAAATAAAAAACTAACTCTCGGTGTATTCATTGACTTTACGAAAGCCTTTGACTATCTTGATCATGATTTGCTATTTAAAAAATTAGAAATGTATGGCTTCTGTGGTTAACTGTTACTACTTATAAGTTCATATTTGTCTTCCCGTCAGCAATACATACATATTAATGGTCATTCATCATCAATAAAATCGATTCGGTCAGGCGTTCCCCAGGGAAGCATCTTGGGCCCTTTTTTATTCAACCTTTACGTAAATGACATAGTAAATATCAGCCGATCAACGAAGTTTATCATTTATGCTGACGACACTAGTTTATTTTTTACTGGTGATACCGCCTCAGATCTCATAGATACCGCGAATGATACGCTAGAAAAACTAGCGAAATGGAGCAAATGTAACGCTTTAAAAATAAACATAAATAAGACTAAGGCAGTTCTATTTCGCCCAAAGAATAAACAAGTTGACATAAACAAGACCATATGTTTAAACTCTTGTAGAATTGAGTTAGTCTCTTCTTTTAAAACATTGGGTATTTTTTTCTCAGAGACAATGTCATGGGATGATCACGTTAACTACATTATATCCAAATTGTCCAGCATTGTTGGCTTGATATATCGTAATAAACACATATTTCCCCTTAAGGTAAAGTTGTTAATATATAATTCATTATTTTATTCCCATATAAACTATGGTCATCTAGTATGGGGCACAACTACTTTTACTAACTGTAAAAAAATATTCATTTTGCAAAAAAAGATTTTAAGAAGTATTTGCAAAGTCCCACTCGAATGTCCAATGGATTCACTTTTTACTCAACTGGGTGTAATTAAAATTTTTGATTTGTATAGATATCGCCTTTGCGCAAAATATATGATTGAAAAAAACATGCATGTACATCATCTTGAATATTTAGCGAATCTAACACAAAAAGTACACTCGTACCAAACGCGCATTCTGCAGCCCTGGCAAGTGCCTCTTTTTAGAACAAATTATGGCCATCATACTATAGCATACACACTACCGTCCATCCTTAACCACCTTCATATGCACAACATAGAACTTGACGCGTTATCGGTGGGTACCTTGCGGGACATGATACTCTCTGGGCAAATCGGCCACGGTTGAACGGTGCCTTTGTGTGTATTTTCTAAGTATTTTTTTTTTTTGTAAAGGGGAATGTGCTTGTGTTTTGTGTATTCTACAATTAATTAACGTAGACTATTTTTCTGGTTTTTCCTTGAACGATGTGGGGCAGTGCTATTTTTTTGTCTACTCTTAAATATTGTATTTTTTGTTATAGTGCCTTGAACGATGAGCAAGTGACGTTATGCTATAGTGCCTGCTTATTTTCTTTAGTTTCATATATCTCATTGCTAACTGTTCAATCTCTTTTTTGTTTAGCGTTCTCAGTGTATTTCTTTTTTTTTCCGTCCACGCTGCTTGTAGCTGCTGCTTTAGGGGGGCTTAGGACTAGTCAAGCTGTACACACAGCTTTTTTCCAAAGCCCCCACAAACACTGTACCTTTCTTGTTGGAAAATAAACCTATTATAATTATCCTATTCACTTTTTGGCTGTAACTTGTATAATCGTTCAGTGCCGGTTACTTTTCAAAATGATGTTTGCGGACATGCTAACTCGGATTGATTTAATCTCAGCATCAGGGGTGTATCCTGTCACAATTTCAAACTGTCACTGCTTCAAACTCGAACCTTCCAGTTTAGACATCCTTTTAGCAGCTCTGAACCATTCGTTGAGGTGTAGGTGTGTTGCAAACACTTTGTATATTTGCAATTGTTTACAAGGTCTGTAGGCTTCTGCACTGCCCTATTGCCTCACAGCCGAGATCGGGATTCCTCGGTTATCAGTGAAAAAACGAGGGCGTTTCTCATCATCGAAAAAATTGAAAACTCCGGTTGCAAGTTATGCAAGCGATGTACAGTCATGGACAAAGGGAACTAGAATGTGCAGCAGCGAGGAGAGGAGACTAGTGTTCATGAGGGGTGCCAAGTCGAAAGCATGGCCAATGTCGAACCCTCGTATGTTCCAGGTGGTGTTGGATGTCGGCTGCGGGACGGGCATTCTCAGCATGTTTGCTGCCAAGGCGGGTGCTGCGAGGGTGTTTGGGGTGAGTCTCTGTGGTGGTCTGCACCCTTTGAACCAAGAGCACCCTGATACGTCTGTTTTATAAGTAGAGATAAGCGTGCCAACGCACGAGGCAGCCCTTGGAAGCAAATGGCGGCAGCAGTCACTGGTGGTGTGCGTGTCACACTTTTGCACAACAGTGGTTGTCGATACTCGTGAGGATTGCCAAGCACGAATTTTACTGAGGAACTTTATTTGAATCAATGCCAGTTTGCACTGAAGGGTCTTTGACATTGGCTATTTGAGGTTTCAGTCTCTTGGCTAACATAGCCAGTGTTGGAACAGGCTGCAATTAGTTTTGGGTACAGAGTGCATAACATAGTTGGCACAAATGCATGATCAGCACTTTTTGTTTTTCCTTCGAGCTGAAATGCTGTCGTAAAACTTGTGTGGTTGTGGGATGTGTTAAAGGGCAACTCCGCTTCATTTTTGATATTTAGAAAACTATGCAGCCCTCTTCAGTGTCATATAGTAAGACCTCATGTAATATTACAATCTAATTCCGTCTATATATTTAATAAACTGGCCAGCAAACTTATAAGTGAGCCAAGTCGCCGAAATCTGCCAACTCTAGCGTGCAACGTGAGGCGCAATCGTCAGCGCAGTCAATCCGACGGAGTTGGAGCGGCCAACGTTGAACCACTACGTCAGAGGCATGACTACGTCACTGTCATGTTTTGTTTGTTTTTACTTCTCAGAGAGAAATTGAACGATGATGTCATGAGTTTCTCCTCCCGCTGTTGGCTCAACGGCGTCCACGTGATGACCGTAACGCGGATGCGCTAGTTTGTGCTGCCCTGCGCGCTTATCGGTCTGTTTCTCCGCTCCCCCTCTCCTCTTTCGTCTTCTTCCCTTCCCCCTCTCCCCCGGGCCATCACTGTCCACGCCATGCGAAGCGACCTGCCCGCATACCTGCGTCGCGTGTCCTGTACCTCGCCCCCACGAACGTCCCAAGAACACGCGGTTCGACGTGACGTGGCCATGACTCTGACGACTCGAGACCAATGTTGCCTGACGCAACCAAAGTTTCGGTTTCGGTATCAGCTCATGTTTAAATTAAGATTACGCAAATAATATTCCACATTTCGCGAATCCGAAGACGTAGAGCTAATTTAGTAGTGCTTCGTGAAATGAAATCACGTGTAAGCCTAAATTTTTCGGAATTGAGCGGAGTTGCCCTTTAATGTGCAGCGCCAAGTTCGGTGGTGAATTTTTCGTGTGGCAGTATCCTGTGCAAGTAAAATATTTAAAAGTGTTCTTTTCTCCTGACTGTCAATTTGCAGATTGAGTGCTCCGGAGTGGTGGAGCATGCGGAGCGGATCGTGCGTGAGAACAACCTGAGCAACAGTGAGTGCACTTCGTCTGTGTTTCTCGGTGTTCTCGCTAGTTTAGTTGTTGATGGGCCTACACTGCCATCTCCAGTTTCTCCATTTGAGGGGCTACATACAGTAGCAATTTTGCTCGTACCATTTTTTGCGTCGTTTTCCGGCTGCCCTCTTCCACGGGGGTGCATTGAAGCATTTGGTTCTTCCCTCTCTTGCGAAGTGAATGGTGGACTTGTTTGAAATGTCCTCTTTTGATTTGGTGCCGCAATTGCACACAGCTTCCCAATAGACCTTTTGTCAAGTTGTTCAAGCACCAACGTGAGCATACATGTTGCACGCAATGACCTGGCTCGAATCCAAGGTTCAAAGTAGATGACTTAAATAAGGCATTGAAATAACTAATAATAAGGCATAAGGAAAATACTGAAGTAAGGCATAGGCACTGCACGCACTGGCCTGAGCTGTATGCACGACTCGGGGTAAATTCCTTAACTGAGGCGTTGACAAGCAAACATGCAAGGTGGCATTTGTTTTAGATTTATGCGTTAGAGATGCTGCTTTAGAGAAGTTACTTTTGCAGACACATGCAGCACTTGTAGGTGCGCTAAGCGTGCTCCTTGGTGCTTGGGATTTGTGGCGAAAGGTCTATAGTTTGTCATCACTGTTGATAGTTTCCTCATCACTGTGCACGATGGAAGTTCTTAGAGAGTGCTTCTCTCTTTGTTTCCGCAGTCGTAACCATAGTGAAGGGTAAAGTGGAAGAGGTAACCCTGCCCGAAGGGCACGAAAAAGTGGACATAATCATCTCCGAGTGGATGGGCTACTGCCTCTTCTACGAGTCGATGCTGGATACCGTGCTGTACGCCCGTGACAAGTGGCTGGTACGTCTGCACGCTTTGGGCCTTCCCATGTTCAGTCGGTAACCTGCGATCCTGTTTTGGCTGCCTCGGCAGCTGTGGTTGCTTTGGATCTTGATTGTCTGGAGATGTCGGATGGACATCCAAGATGCGCAACAAGCGTTATAAATTGACTGGAAGTGTTGCATTTGGACAGTAAGGCTCAATCTCAAAATGGGCAGTTTTGTGCGTCGGAGCGCATCTTTGTGTTTACGGACTCTCCGAGAGCAATCAGTTCAAGTGTGTAAGCAAAATGACAACATACGAAAATTAAAAAAATAAAAAAACATTTGCAAAACACTACAAGTTTATTAGGCATTTTTACTTTTAATATTATTTGCTTGTGCCGTCTGTCAAGTTGATCGTTGGCACGATGTTCCGATTGGAACTTGTGGCAGTAACTTGCACCAGGGGGACCATGCAAGACGGCAAGAGGACGGAACCGGGACATCGCAGCAGGCGATTATGTCCTGCTCTCTTCGTCCCGCCGTCTTGCATAGACCCCAGGAGTAATTATTGTTTAGGCTGGAAGTTCTACGTGTGCAAGTAAGGATTTTGAACAGTACAAACAGACACGAAAAATTTTTCGTTTTTCCCTTTTTTAATATGCAGAAACCCGGAGGCCTGATGTTCCCTGACCGAGCCACGCTGTTCCTGTGCGCTATTGAGGACAGGCAGTACAAGGATGAGAAGATCAACTGTGAGTGGCTCCGTTCTCCCACCTGCAGCATTAAATAGAAAGAAAAACAGGTGCCAATATTGCTGCGCAGGTTGTCGTTGAACCCCGACAGCATTTTGCACTATCTTGTACCGCTTAAATGCTCCCTCATTAAACTGCTTAGGATGTGCTTCGTATTCTAGGAATAATTTTAGTCAACCCGCCACATTCACATTTACACCAATACGCATAATTATTCGATCTGACCGTGCAGTGCCTGCTGACGTGCCTCCCGCAACCAGCCAGTGAATTGTGGCATTACTGCTGTCCGTGGTGCTCGATGCTGACGTTTCGTTTATTGGAAGTGCGACGTTGGTTTGTGAAGGAATAGAATAATGTTTACTTTACTGGATTAACTTTGATCACGTGAAGAGGTCTCTTTTGCGTCCGTTTTGTGGCGAGCATCCGGTCGTTCTGGTCGACGGAGCTGTTTCTTTCGAGGCTAAGGGCAAGGTTCAATACTCCGAATCACGCTCGCGAAGCGTCACATGTTGATATATGTACTTTACAGATAAACAAGCTGGGCTAGCTAACACTGCAATTCAAACGTTTCTCTCTGAATCAAGGGCTGTACTAAACATGCATATAGACGTAATAGACCCTCTGTGATTGTGCTTGCTGTTCAGAAGCTAATATATTGTATCATATATGTTGGTTGGGCTCATTACAACCTGTTTGCATAATTAGAGTAGCTACAGTGCAACCCACTTAAAACGATTATGAGAAATTTCAATCGTTATAACCAATTATCGTTGTATCAGGACTTGGAACTAATTATTTACAGTCTAGAAATTCTAGAAAATGGTGGTTATAAACGGTACATCAATATATGTGGTGTCATTATAAGTGGGTTGCACTGTATATAACAGATGTGTGCCGCCTGCTTCCTTCGTTACAAACCGAGCCAGTGATGCGAAAGTGCGTAGGGTTTGCTTAGAAATGCTATTGCATTTAAAATGTGCTTGGACTCCTTTCTGAGCCCGGGGTCGTGCCTGAATGGGTCTGTTTCTTTGTGTGTAGCGATTTCACTTTTTAGTCTCGGCTTCTGCCTCTGGTTGAATGCTACGTACGTGTGAGCTACATGGATCGGTTCCCCGCAGGGTGGGACAGCGTGTACGGCTTCAACATGAGCTGCATCCGCAAGGTGGCCATCTCGGAGCCCCTGGTGGACGTGGTGGACCCCAAGCAGGTGGTCACCAACGCCTGCCTTCTCAAGGTGCGTGTGTCTCTGCGGGCGGGTCCCTGTTGGCATAGGAATGGTACCGGGAAGCTCAACCATGCTTTCGGTGTGTGTGTAGCCGTTCAGATCAAACGCTGGCCAGGTGGTGCAAGCTGCCGCCCGATTCAAACTCTCCCGTCTTGCTGGCTGAAATTTTCCCAGGTGGGAAAATCCCGTCGGCAGCGCAATGAACGCGGCTCCTCGACGGAGGCTATGAGACCTTTTCAAACCGCAGACTGTCTGGTTTTGACGAGCCATATGTGTCACTTGGGAGGCTAAAGCGGGATGTTTATTACGCTCGTGAATCGTTTGGCGGCGGGCACTTCTTCAATGTTGTTTTGTGGTGGTCTTTCGATTGGTGGAGCAGTCGATGCAAAGTCCGTCTTCAAGTATTGTGCCGTGCCGTTTCCGACCACTGAAATGTGGGGAACTGTTTTTGGAGTCCATGTAATCGCTAGCTGCTTTTTTTTTTCTTTTATATCTGAAGATTGTGCATATTGTACCGTTGTCCTTCACATCCTTGCATTGAATTAGGGAACTATGATTTGCATTGTGTTTTGTTCCCTAATGTAATTTGCATTGCATTGAGGAACTACAAGTAGAGGTTTCTCATACTTACTCGGCAAATGGGGGTGTCTCAAATTGTTGAAGAGACTACCTCATCTCCAGAAGTCTAGATTCTGGCTGAAAAAAGGGACATTTCCGTGCTCGGCACACCTCGAAAATTGCCCGTTTATTTGCACAAAGAAAAATAGCTCGCATGATGAAAAAACGAGCGCAAAATATCAACTTTTAAATGCGTATTGTCCACGGCCTCTCGTTGGGAAAACGTGGTTTTACTGCGCAGTCCACGTTCGGCGCATTGATGGGGGCCACTTCATTCTCTGTAGCTTCGATTTCACGCCGCTCTCGCGCTCCTTTCGCAGGAAGTGGACCTGTACACCGTGCGGGTGGAAGACCTGTCCTTCACATCCCCGTTCCACCTGCAAGTCCGGCGCGACGACTACATCCAGGCGTTCGTGACTTTCTTCAACGTAGAGTTCACCAAGTGCCACAAGCGCACCGGCTTCTCCACAGGTGAGATGTCGTCCGCTGCGTGGTGCCCGTAACGCATCCTCAAAAGCAGCCCCCCGATTTCCGCCCGCCAGTGACGTAGAAGCGTAAAGGCCTGTTCGCATGCTTGCGTTTGTTTACCACCGAGTTCTCGCAATCTCTTACGACGAGAGAACACGCCATCTATGAGGTGGCCCTGGAACTGAATTTCCGTAGAGCGAAGATTTTGCAGTATTTGCGAGAATAAATGTACTTCCTGTCTACAACAGAGTCGTTTATAAGTCAAAAAAAGAAAGGTTGATACAGGAAAGAAATGCAGAGCGCAATTTCATCCGCTACTTTTGCGGGGGTTGTGGTGATGTCGGAACGCCCAGCTCCTATTGGCTAAGACTGAAGAATAGTGGGTAGATCTCAAAGCAAGCTAGCTTGCTTCCGCCGTGACTCGCCCTGCAGCTGGACCGTTGACGGAAGCCGAAGCGAATACGAGTCGGTACGTCGTGGCGATGATGACCCTCGTGTCCGCTCGCCTTTTTCGCCGGCGATTCTACGGCCGATTGCCGGAATCGCGACGTTCGACAGCGTGACGCATTGGCTCCCGCGACGTAATTTATTGCCTCTTCGGGCCCGCTTTAGACGCGTGGGCGGGGTAGGAGGCGGACACTACGGGTGGGGACACACTCCGTGGACCATAGTCTGCACGCGTGGCTGCGCTCGTTCTCAATTTGCCGGCGCCTCTGGACAAACATTTATAGACGCTCGTGATGCCACATTTACCTGATTTTAGGGCGCACGCGTGTTTGACTTCCTAAAAGCTGGACGGTCGGTTTGAATAGTGTGGAACTGTTAAAACACCATGTGTAATATATATAATGTGACTATTTTTTTTATTATTGTGTTGGATTTGTCTTGTTTTCTGCAAATGGCTGTGTTGTACACCGACTGCTTTTTAATGGAAGCGACTACTTATATCGCCTGGTGGCGAACTAATTGATTGTCTTTTTTGGCATCTGTTATCTGCCTAGAAAAGGGTCTCGCTCGGGTCTGATTGCCTGGGTACTTTCTTTCTGCCTGCAGCACCGGAGGCTGCCTACACGCACTGGAAGCAGACGGTGTTTTACTTTGACGACTACATGACGGTCAAGAAGGGAGAAGAAATCTCTGGGGTGTTCAGCATGAAGCCCAATCCAAAGAATAAGGTGAGGGGTTTGTCTTTTCTTTCTGGCCGCCACCTCTTGACACTTTTGTTTGGTTCCCTCTCTCCCGACAGAGGGACTTGGACTTCAGCATAGACGTGGACTTCAAGGGCGACCTGTCGGAGCTGTGCGAGAGCTTTGCCTACCGAATGCGCTAAATGCGCCGCACCGTCTGCCGAAAGAGGAAAAGAAAAATGCATTGCCGACTCCAAAACCCCTGCTCCTCTTACTATCTTCAGCTGTTCGGGCGTCCCATTACCCAGGCTGGAATCACGCGCGCAACCGTTCGTTGTTTTTTTTTCCTTTGTGGCTAGTCCTTCCTTGATGCTGGATCGTCTTTCATATCTTTGCCCCATTCTTCCTTTTTTTTTTTTGTCGGAGAATTGCAGTAAATGCATTTTTAAATGCTGTCTGGTGCTCTTTTTTCTTTGCCTTTTTGGGGTAATAAGCCATTGCTGGATTTGTTAAGGGGACTGAATGTGGTGGAACACGCTGCGGACCTGCGTCTGGCTGTCAAAAGCTGGCTGAAAAAGTTGGAAACTAAAAGGTATTAGGATTTTAATACATCATTCATTGTACTTAAAATAAAAAGGGAACAGAAGAAAGCAGAACGTCGTGGGAGTCGAAGTCGGCGTGACAGCAGAGTCGAACGTGAGGTTTTTCTTTCTGTGGGAGACACTGCCGGAAAAAAAATTCAATAAAAAAAAATTGGGCTTGGAAAATGCCATATTTACATTCACCAACATCTAGAGGAGTATACCCAGAAAGTTTAATTAGTTTACACTGAATACTGTAAATAACTAAATTTTCGTAGGGACTGAATTTTTGCGAATCGCCTACAATTCACGAAAAATACATCCTGCAAACAATTTGAGCAATATGTGAATGCTACAGAAGCTACACTTGATTCGCGAAAATTAGAACTCCCGAATAATTTTAAGCTTTGGCCCAATTCACGAAAATTTGAGCCCGCGAAGATTAAGTTGTTTGCAGTAGTCATTTTTTTATAAATTGTTTTCGGTCTACTAATGCTGGAGAAAAGGTAAAGGCTGGAGCAATTTAAACACATTTTTCTTCATTCCACTTTTTGCCACAAGTTTCACTCTAGGAAAACTCGTTTGGTAACAGGACAAAAGGAGACTCGTTTTTTTGTTTTTCCTAACGGATTTTGTATGCAACGCAAATGGGGAATCTTTTTTTTTTTTTTTTACACACTTTGTGGATGTTTTTTTTAAAAAGATGTTGAGAGTTTGTCAACGGCAAAATATTTATCTGGTTTTTGACCGTAATGTTAGCATAAAAAACTTTTTAAAAGTTTTGTTTTCACATTTGTACTCTCCGGGCATTCTGCTGCAAATCTAGTGAAGAAAAACATTGGGTATTGCATTAGTTTTCCTAAACAAAGTCAGTGTGTTCCTAATAAAAAAACTAATTTCTGTTACAATTAATGTACACAGGTGAAACTGCACTGCATTCTGCCTCACAACTGCCAGTACATACTGTATATTTCATTCATATTAAGCCAAAGGTTCAAAGGTTGACCCTTTTTGGTAGTGTCCCCCTCATAAATGGGCAGGCATTGCAATAATTTTTGCACTTTCTATAAATACCGGTTTCAAGTAATTTTTGACATTCATTACCTACAAAAGGCACATTAGTTTTTCTCCCCGCACAATGAATGTTGCAGGAAAGAAAAAATTGAGAAAAGCATGAAAGCATTCACTTTTTCAACTTTCAGTGAGAATGGGGCCATGCAATGCAGCAATGACTATGTCGCCAATGTTCATTATAGCCACACACCAGGGTTGGCCGAGCTCCAGACATTGTTAGAGTTTGACTCTCCCCGTCGCCACAGTGATTTGACACTAGCCACAACCCGAATGCTCGTCGAGGCGTTATGGTCACGAGACCAGGGGGGCTATGTTGCACGTTTTGAACTCCCAGGAGACTAGGGAGAAGGAAGTGACATCAACAACACTCTTTGGATGTTGATTGGTGGAGTCGCTGATGACTTGTTGCGTGGTGCTGCTAACATACGTTCATTCACACCTACGTCACTTCCCCCTAGTGTCCTGGGAGTCGAAAACATGCAACATAGCCCCCGAGGCCAAGCCATCACGCAGTGTTTGTGTCCAATCTATGACCTGCAGTTGAGTATCGTATGGAAATCGCCACGACTATGATAACGACCAGATCCCTGTTACTATGTCATCATATTTTGCGAATGGGAGACTGAAGGAAAAAGCCCTTTATGCTCTAAATTACACCGCAACAAAGGAGCTTCCTGGTCTGTGGCATTTCGTGCTATACGCCTCGCAAGTGGGCTCATTTTCGTCTTCTGCGCATGAGAAAGGAAGTAGCGGTGACGTCAGAACGCCAAGCCCTGATTGGCTGATCGCGACCCCCTATCTCAGCGTCGTCTGCTCCTTTGCAACGTCGTCTGCGTCTGTCTTACCTTTCCTGCGACTTTCGGAAGTGCAGGTCTTTATGAGCGAGCTCGACTTCGCCTTTCAGAGAGGGCAGACGAAATAACTCGAGCTGTACGTTGTTTTTGTCTAACAACTAGCAGACGCGCATCAAGGAGGGAAGTCAGAGGACTCGCTGGCGAGGTCCCGAGGCGCCGAGGTGTGTTTGCTAAGAACCGAGAGTAAGCGTGTTAGTGCCCGCAAGTTCCCTCCCCAATACTTTTCCCTCCTTTCGTGTGCGGCGAGACCCCTCATTCTTTAACGGCGTTGGCAGGTTCGCGCAGTTAACGTCGTATGCTTTACGCCTCCTAGTCAAAGGGATGGCTGCTTTACCTTTCCTGCGTCTGTCGGAGATTCACCGCTTTTTCACCGGCGAGTCACCGTTGCCTCGGGAAACAAGGAGATAACAAAAGGATGAAATTGACCTCTTAATCTGAAATTGAGGTCAGATATCAAAGTATAATACGGGAAGGGTGGTTCACAAGGGTCGCGCGGGCATATTCCATTCAGCACGCCAGCCGGTCGTGGGCAGACGGTCGCCGAGTCGCGGAGTGCCTGCTAGGCCTAACTGCCGTACTCGCTTGGTCGCGTTCGGTGGAATCGTGGCCGTTGGAGCTTTTCCCGGGTGTTCGTGGATCCAGCGTTCTTGTTCGTCGTGGTCTGTTTCAAGTACTTTTACTTTTTTTCTTGCTGTTTGAAGTCGGGACGCGTGAGAAGCGCACGTAGCAAAATAAACGTCCGTGGATCGTCGCGACCGCGACACTGTCGGCCATGCTGATTTGATCGTAGGAAGTGCGTAAGACAGCTTCGGAGCTGTCGTAGGATTTCGTCGTAACCTGCGCAAAACAAGAAAATTTTGTTTCGTGAATACGAATTTGTTCTTAAGTTTTGTCTCACGCACATTTTTGGCATAAGATCGTTTCGTGAACCTGGCATCTGCACTTTCGGAAGTCGCAGGAAAGGTAAGACAGACGCAGACGACGTTGCGAGCAGACGACGTTGCAAAGGAGCAGACGACGCTCAGATAGGGGGTCGCGATCAGCCAATCAGAGCTCGGCGTTCTGACGTCACCGCTACCCCCTGCGCAAGAAGCAGACGAACTTGCCCTCCGCATAGGCTGGGGCAAAGCCGTATATGTAGAGAGTTTTGCCATTCGTTGGGAAGTATAGGAGACAAATGAGGAGGCGCCATTGGCCGAAAGCGGGCTAGGCGTGCTTCGGGCGTCTTCAGAAATTCGAATGTGACCAACCAGAGGCTGGAAATAATACCCTGGCGGTGGTCGCGAGAAACAAACCTGATAAGTGCATCGGAGTTACTCTCGCTGACTGAAAATATGGTACACGTGATGTTTCAATCGTGCTAATCAAAATGATGGTGAAAGAGTGCGACTAGCGGAACGATCGACATAATCCGTACGCCAAGCGCCGAGGGCTGGGAATCTGCCGTCCGAGCAGTCGCACTTTGTTCGAGCAAAACAGAGTTGAGCAGCGCATTCGTTTCTTCCATCTTTCTGCATGATCATGATCGAAACATCACGTGCACCCTATTTTCAACCACAAAGAGTTACTACACTTCACTCCTACGCCCTTTTAAAAAACATATACAAACATATACCTTTGATCAGAACTGTTTCTCGCTACCATCGCTAGGGGATTCTTTTAGGCTTCTGGTTGGTCAAGAGAGCATGCCAAGCCCTCTTTCCGAGTCTCGTGCACGCCCTGGCTCTGCCCTTGCCTCCCATTGACCAAACCCTCTGTATACACAGCTCTGGGCTGGGGTCGTGCAACACCACCTGGAGAGAAGGCCTCCACACGCGTCATCATAGTCAGATCGATCGAGGCGAGAGATTGGGCATGAGTGCTGCGTCAGTGTTCGGCCGCGGCTCGTGGCCAATCAGCGCGTCGAAGGTCGGGCTCAGGTCCAATAGCCGACCGAGCGCGATCCGACTGTGATGACGTTTCATAGAAGAGGAAACCATGCGGAGGCCTTCTGTCTAGGTGGTGTTGGGTCGTGGTAGTGCCAGTAGGGTTTTGTAAAGAAATGTTTCGTCCCAATGTTGCACGGCCCCTTAAAGAGAGATTGCGAAACAATATTGTGATCGACTTTTGTCAACTGCATAATGTTTAGTGGGTTTCTGGCTGCCAGAAACATGATTTTTGCTTCAAATTTCGAAAATCTAGCCGAGTTTTATTTTATTTTTCTCCTTTGGAAAGCTTTCTGATAATCCCAAATGGTTCCGGATGCTTCTCAGCGGAATACAGGCTTGTGTTCTATGTCAACCGATCTGTCGGCGTGTTGTGACGGAAATTGCCGAGTCTTGTGATGGCCGGCACCGGTGTGCAATGGTCTCTTTCGGAAATAGTGAAATGATCCATAGATTATGTGCAGCCGCCATTAGTTGGTCCCGTCGCTTCCAGCGTGAAGCCCATGATTGTTTCGGAGTTTGCGTCGAGTACTTGTGCAGCACTCGTGTGGAATGCGTTTCGATCCGAGTACACTCCGAATACTGACAAAGCGCTCATGTTCAATGTGTGCTTGGAGTGCATGAGCAACTAATGCCGGCTGCACAATTCATGCGTCATTTCGAAAAGGATCTACTGCCAACTCAGGCGCGCAGGGTGTCGAACCGAACCTGAACCAAAGTCGAGCGTTAAATATTCAACCCAGAACGGAACCATAATCTGATGTGGCAGTTACCAGTTGACTGGGAAAACGGTTCGGTATAATAAGAGTCAAGCCGCGTCTTAATTCTCGCAAGTGGCGGCACGAAGTCAAGTAAATATATGCGACGGTGGTGTTGGCGGCGACTAATCAAACAGCGACAGCCTGGAGGCAGCTCAATAACAATGAAGCGAGCAAAAATATTTCTCGTCTATGTTCAGCACGACTCTGCGTTGGCGCGGTGGCGTACATTTCTATATTTTTGTTCAACCTTACCATAAACCGTAAAGGACGCTACGAGCCACCAGAGCCAATTCATAGCACGGAAGTCCTTCCGGGTGGGCGGTGCGACGCAGGGATCATGAAGTTGCGTGAGAAGCTATGGATTGGTGTGGGTGGCTTGCAGAGTACGTCTGACGCCAGAGATGCTCCACGATCAACACTGTGGCGCCAGGACGCCAATCCCCCAGAGCACCCCAGAACCGTAAAAGCTGCTTGAAGATTTTTTTGTTTTCTAGTTCCTTGAAGGCAGCATGTTGCTGATTTTCTTTTGTCTCCTATTTTGCTTTAATCATGTCTACACTGCCCTTCACCGTCTCTCTTTTCTTGAACTAAGGTGTCCGGCGTGCGGGGTGGGCAGTTCGAGCATGATGCGTGCTGTTGTCACTGTGCGTGCCGGTTGATTGACTGCATGTGAGTGCTACACTTTGGTATTGTTTCTGAGTGCCTGTGTGGCCACTTAATTTGCATAAAATGGTGCTTGTGATACAAGATGCTTTTTCATCTTGTATCATCATCATCAGAAGCCATGCTTCTTCTGCTGCATGGCTTCTGATGATAATGTTTTCTTTTAGTGCAGACGACACCGTGTTAAATTTTTCTTGTTAACAACTTGGAGCTGTGCTCCAAGTTGTTAACAAGTAACCGGTAACCGAATTGATATGTTGAATTCATCATTGAACTGGAACCGAACCAGGATAATGATCGGTTCGACTCCCTGCAGGCATGCAACTGATGAACTCTGGTCGTGCCAGCTGGCGAAAACGCACCTGGGGCCTAATCTATACGGCGGGACTAAGGACCAGGACATCGCTGTGTAGAGTAGGGCCCCTGATGGGCTTATTCTCGCCACCAGAGAACTCCCAGGGTTGAACATGTCACAACATGCTTCTGTTCATTTTGCCGTTAAAAAGAGAAAAATGCTGGTTTTTATTTTATTTTCGTAAAAGTCGACTCGCTGAAACGAAAGTAGCAGATGCCTGTTCCGTCTTCTATGAACCTTCGTAATTACTAAAGTCATTTCATAGGTCCTTAAACTCGTTTATTTATATTTTACTTTTTTTTTTATCACACTACTGCATGCTAGCATGTCAACACTCTCCTGCATTTATTATGAACTGCAACTATAATCCATGACAGGTTAAGAGTTCAGGGGGGAGCTCCCCCCACCCCTTTCCACTTTAGCAGAGCAAGTGCTGAGAGGAGGTGCCTCTTTTCCAGCGTTCGCTCTGCTAAAGTGGAAAGGCGTGGAAGGGGCTCTCCCTGGGGCTTTTATCTAGACACTAGGCAAAAAAAGTCTGCTATTATTTCAGCGGCCGTGATTGGCCGGCACCTCGCTTGCCGTTGGTGCTGGCCAATCACGGCGGTCGAATTCCTCGTTGACTTTTTTGCCAAGTGTCCAGATTAGAGCCCCAAAACTCTCCACCTGTCACCAACTATAGTCATTGTTAGCAGAGTGGATATTAATCAGTGTTGGGAAGTAGGTACTTTAAGCACATTGTACTTAGTTAAAGTACTACATCAAGTAGATTTTGAAAACTTGGTACTTTACTTGAAGTATTTTTTCTGCTACTGGTAGAACCCCAATAGACCATTTGCGATATTCTTAAGCGCCCCGGCCCGCACTCGAGAAATCATGGAACGGTGTTCCTTCAGCTCCCTAGTGATCGCTAATTTCGACCAAATCTATGGTTACATATTTTTTTAGCGTAATCCGGAGTCGCCCTGAACAAGCGCTTGATATGACCCAAGGACCTCTCATATCACTTTTAAAATTTCTAGTAAACGACAGCGTGCATGCGATCCACCTTTCAACCTGGCTGAGCTGCAGAAATCTCTTACAATATTATCATTCTCATGATTGTTGTTCTCGCACGAACTGCTTAAAAAGCCGAAAATTCACAACAATAAAAACCAGGATTTAGCTCGGAGTCCACGGGGCTGTTTATAGCATTTTTAGCGTCTTTGAAGCTGTACGAGAATAATAATGCAAGAGATTTCTGCAGCCCATCCAGGACGAGGGGTAAACAGCATGCACAGTATCAAAAATGCTGACATTGAGGAGAAATTTTAAAAGCAATATAACAGGTCATGGGGGTATATCAGGCGCTTGTTCAGCTTGACTCCGAATTACGCTCAAAAGCTCTGCAGCCAAAGATAGCGTCAAAATTACCGTTCACTAAGAAGCTGAGGGAACACCGCCCCCATGATTCTTTTAGCGCGAGTCAGGTTGCTTGGGGGATATAACAAATGGTCTATTTGGTCTTGTTAAATTTGTATCACAAAGTGATGCTTCGTCAACTCTGAAGAAATACTGGGAGGGATATTCTACTCTCACCAGAAATTTGAGCAGACGACGTATGGCTGTTTGAACTGGGGGCGGCTTTCCCGCAGTGCTTCGAACTCTCGCTCGATCAGCATATTAGTAAAGGACACTCCTTTAATAATATAATTCGTAAAGGACACTCAATACATATTACAGAGATATGTAAACATAAAGAGCAAGAGCACCTCAACATCCGCTTTTGACAGTAGTTTGTATTTGCTGCAAGTCACCAACATTCTTCATTACAAAGAAAAAAACAAAAAAAAACTGGCTGTTGGAAAATATATATTGTCCTCGTTTATTGCCCAAATATTTTATAGCCCATTACATTAGTAGGTCCGTATCAATCATACAATATGCATCCTTATATGGGATGTTTAATTTTAATTCAAGATATTTTTGAGGAAAAGGGTGAGAGTTGGACGAGTGGCATCTTCATTTATTTATCACGCTCGGGGGACAATAAATGAGGGTATAATCATTATGGAAAGTAGAATAATTGATCTGAATCCCTTAATTAACCTTTTGTTAGTTTTAGGAGTCATGTTGCAAATGCATTATTGACAGAAGTTACTATTAGGCCAGACCACTGGAAAGAATTTACAATAATGTAGTTTTTAGGTAATAAATTTGCACATTTTTTAATCCAATTTGAACAGTGCGCAAAAGAAGCATGCCTGCCCACAATGATGCTTAGAAGAACGATGTAATTGTTTCCATCATGTCGGCACTACTAATTCAGCAACAAATCGTTTGTGGGTTTGCAGACAACACAAGAGAGAATGTGACTGAAACAACTACGTCACACTGACTAAAAAAATGAAAATTTGTCGAGCAATATCTTAAAAATCATTCAATTTTTGCAAATCTTTTCAACTGGTCTGAACTAATTGCAATTGCCATCAATACTGCAATTGCAACATGACCTTAAATTACAGTGAATTAGAAATAATTGAGTGGGGCGAGCTACAGGCTCTGCTCATGCTTTCAATTGAAGCTCAGAATGTGGAAAGTTGGCGTGGTGGCGTTGCGCTCAAAGTGGCTTGCTTACCCTGGATTTTCGTCGTGATGTCGTTGTTCGACGTCGCGTTGAGGACGACGCTGTTATGCGACATCAAGTTGCCGCTGTAATGCGGTCGTGACGAAAACCCACGTCGAAGACGACGCCGACACACCACGCAATGTCAAATGTTGCTATGACGTCACTTTAATTCCGTCCCGACGTCATCGTCAACATAGATGTCAACACGACTTCACAACGAAGCCTTGACGTTGTGTAACGTCGTTGCCAACATCAACGTTGATGCGCCGTCACGACGAAGTCTTGATGCCATGTAACGTCGTTGTCGTTAGGTTGTCGTGACGTCTAGTTGTGTCTTGTCGACAATGACGTCGACAACCTGATGCCAAGCATCTTTATGACGTTGCGCTGATGACAAGGACACCATTAATTATCTTGCTGTCGCGTGATGTCGTCAACATTGACATCGAAGTTGTTGGCAACGCAATATGACCGGAACGCAGTCTTGATGTCATGTAACGCGCGTTGTCAACGCGATATGACGTCAGAATGCAGTCTTATGTCGTGTAACGCGCGTTGTCAACATCGATGACGACGCTGACATCAAAGCGTCATTGTGACGACACGTCGGGTCGTGGTGACATTATGTATTGAAATGATGCCGGACATCTAGGTTGCATACAAAATAGCCTAGGGCTCCATTGTTTCTATGACCTTGACCTGTGTGCCGCTCGAGCACGGCGTTAGAATGCAACACTTTTTTCGTAAAAAAATGAAATACATTGTGTTAACAATTATTTGCTCGTTTTGTGAAGAGCTTATATTGTAGCGCTTGTTTACTTTTTGTTTGTGCAAATCCAAGCCACTTCACTTGTAGTGCCCTCTGTGCTCCAATGGCCCCACTCATTCTTTCTAGTTCACTCTACCTAAAACCAATAGTTAAGAAGTGAATAAATTTTAGCTGATTAGTCAACTTATCGTGACGATTACCCCCTCCCCTAATGATAAATCTGTGATAAATGCATGGTGAAGACGGCACTTGTCCAACGCTCTCACGCCCCCCTTTTAAAAAAAATCTGTTCAAGTGAAAATTAAACGCCCCGTAGAGAGACTATGCGGTGTCTACTGCAAAGCCCTACCATCGTCAAAAGTCAGCAATATTTAGTTCTCTCGTCGGGCATGCGTAAGGTCCATTCTGCACGTAGCCTTTTGAAGTCTTCCTCCCAGCCCATCCTCGCCACCAGGTCTTCAACCGAAGCAACGATGTCACCTGAAAAGAGTGGCAGACGCGAGTGACGATAATGCACTGTTCTGACATGCTCGCTTCATTATTTCCAACAGCCAATTACCCGTCTGCATAACGTCCTTTGCCCTTATGCCAAAAGACCCGACACGGTCGTTGTTCATAAGTAGTCTTGGAACGTCCGAAGGAACTTCATCTGCCATGCCCGCGAAAGGCATAACCTGAAGGGAGAAACAAAGATGTGCAGTGTTTCGAGCTGCAAGGTGTTTCTGAGCTTGTGTGTACAACGAGCAGCATACACATTGTGACCATGCATCGCACATACAATATGTATGGGTTTTGTGGTCAGTACCGCTATGGGTCACTCGGTCGTGTCATGCGACACTCACTATGTGATGTCGTGTCATCTGGCATCAGTGCGATGTCATAATGATGACATCACCTGATCGCTGTTTGCCAAAAACGCCACATGGCTACTGCCACGCCGACAATGTCGCGTGGCAGTAGTCAAGAACTGTAGTAAAAAAAAGTCCGGCACCTTGCGGAGCATTACAAATTACCATTTTTATCTGGAGAATTAAGATATATGTAGGTGCATGTGACATTAGGTATACGTATGTTATTTTATCCAGAAGTGCATGTTGCAAATGGTCAAAAGCATTGCTTCTTCCTACAACAACCAAATGAACTACTTTGCACAGCATACCGACAATGCGCAAAACTTGCTTCTTTCTTTTTTTTAGGTGACAATGAGTACAGACGCTTTCTCACTTCGAGCGATGTTCCCATCACGATGAGAACTTGTGTCTCGGAGACGTCTTGCGCGTACATGTAGAAGCGGTCGGGAAGGGCCTCTCCAAAGAACACGATATCTGGCTTGATGACACCCTGGAACGCAAAACCGGGTTGTCAACTGTAGCCGCTCGTTTGGAGAGAAAAGAACAGGTGCCGCCATCTTTAATCGACGGGACAAGTTGCCGAGTCTCTCGACGTACCTTGCACCCGTGTTCTCGACACCTCGGAACGGTCCCCTCGTCGATTTCTTTCTACATTACGAAGAAAACGTGAAATTCGGAAAACAAATAAATAAGTCGTTTCAGTCGTGTTAGTACTTTTAATGTACCTTAATGTCCTCCAACGTGTGGCGGGCACTGCAAATGGTGCATGTGGCAGTCGAAAACGTTCCGTGCGCCTCTACCAACTTTTCGTCGGGAATGCCAGCCACTGAAGTAGATTTGTTCACCTGTTCAGACTTTTTAACTGTAGTGCTCTCCATAGTCAATGACAAACTGAGAATGGCGGGGTGTCTTTCGAGCGCCTGGCCTTCTGCATGCTCTTCATGCCTTCCAATGTGCCTTGGCTGAGCATGCGCTTGAGGTACATTGGAAGCGGCAAAGGTAAGCAGCTGATGCTGGAGTTGGGGCAACTGAAGCTCCTCCCTGCTGTTTTCGCCTTGTCAGCGACTCTGGGGAATAATATCTCGGAGGAAATATTCTAGGGAATAACACACCGAAGCCACAAAAGACAGCTGATGCAGACAGGCAAAGAAGAGGACTAATTTATACCAGTTGAAAAAGAATGCAAGCCTCAGTTCTGCTCTGCCTACACAACATTAGGCCTTTGTGTCTGGGTTTATATTCGTGTCTAGAATATTTTTTACACTGCGGTTTTTTTTTCTGTCATTTTTTATATGCTCGTAATTTCGAGGAGTACAAGCAATTTATTTTGAGACGCTCCAACTTTAGTGTCATATCTGCGAAGCACATTGGACTGGAACCGGTGCTTACGGCGTTCCAAGCTGTCGATGTTCTGGGTGTACATGCGAAGCAGCTTGTCCTTCCTGTGTAGCAGTGCTGGGAGGAAGTGTGCGGCGTTGGGTGCATACTTCCCAGGCACCAGCTCTCGGGCATACTCAAAGAAGGGCTTTGGGTTTGTGAAGAAAAAATCCAGCTCGAAGATTGCTTCTGGGTAGGGCAGGTGATACTTTTGCAGATTGTAATAGAGCCCCGATCCAGGAGTCCTGTGGCAGAGTTTGATCGGGTATACTTTTGTAAGGCATTCTCTCACTAGGCTTTCAAGGAATTAATATTGAAGAGCATTTTGTTCTTTTTCAGATAGAATAGAGTTTTCTTTTTTCGTGAATTTTATTACAAGACATAAATCTTTCGTCAAAAAAACAAAAACAAGGGAAAAAAAGTGCAGGAGAGTTATAACACAGAAAAATTAATAAACTTCCAAATCGAAGGAAAATACAACAGCAGGAGACCGTCTCAGTCCTCCTACTGTTGTCTTTTCCTTAAACTTGAAAGTTCCCTCATTTTTCCGCACCACAGTATCAGGTCTAGATAAATGCTGGCGAAGGTTGAGATACGCTCTCACGCCCGCGCCTTTGCCAGCATTGAAGCCAGCTTGAGAGATGGTCACCGACAGAGAAGGATCAGCAGGCTCCTGTATTTCTGAAGACCGCCAGCACGCTCGAGGTAGGACACGAGACAGCGAAGCGTTGTTAGGAAGCTCGCGCTGCAGCTGGGACCATACCTCGGCAAACCTCACTTCACAAGTGAGGTGAGGGTGAGCGAGTTTCTGAACAAAGAAAATTGATGAGTGTGAGGGTGAGTGAGGGCTGTGAGGACCATGAGGGCGGTGAGTGCGTGAGGCCCCCTTCAGACGAAGCAACTTTCTCGGCAATTTTGGTGTTGGTGGCGGGTTTTTCCCTAGCTTTCCCTAGATCAACACGAATTTCTGAGAGCGGGTCGGGCTCGAAACAAGTGAGCAACTCGGAGCAATTCGAAGACGCTTGAAGCAGCTGCATCCAATCAGGGACGCAATATTTTCACATGATACCTCGTGCCGGTGATAATGACAACAAAAACTTGGTTCTGGTTTGAAATTGATCGCTTTTGGAAATAAACGGTTTCAGAAAGATGCATTAGTATTCTCAACGAGAATTAAATGCATAAAAACATGTTTATAGTGCATAATTGTGCGTCTAAATAGTGCAAGAAAAATAAAATTTCATGATGATGATGGCAAATTGCAGCAGTTGGTTGCTGCGTGTGAACGTGGGCGGCCCGTGTTGCTGCATGGTGTTGCGACGTCAAGTTTCTGGGCGAAATTGTCCCATCTGAAGCGGGCCCGAGTGGCGCGAGGGCCCTGAGCGCGTGAGGGGTATGAGTGCATGAGGGGCGTGAGGGCTATGAGTGCGTGAGGGCGGTGAGTGCGTGAAGGCCATGAGTGGGTGAGGGGCGTGAGGGCCATGAGTGCGTGAGGTTCAGTAAGCGTGAGTGAAGGGCTGAAGGTGAGTGTGACTGTGAGGATGAGGGTGAGTGAGGGGCTGAAGGTGACTAGCTGTGAGGATGAGTGAGGGGCTTAGGTGAGTGTGGCTGTGAGGGTGAGTGAGGGCGACCTAAAATGCCGACTTCTGGCTGGGACAACCGAAGCTTCTCTCTGCCGTTCTCACGATCACTTCTCATCGCTAACTTGAACGTCAGTGCCCACATCGACACTTGGAAAAGTCGCCAAAAGTTGAGTGCCTACGATTATGATCGGCGTGAGGAATATATGGAATTTAATTGCCTGAAATCCTGAATTCCGCTCGCAGTGCTGATTCCCGCCCCCGCCATGACCAACACTCTGGATGTATCGCTGTGCTTGATAACTTCCGCGATGTTGTCAATCGTAAAAGAGGCGTGGCCGGTCAGGTGTCTTGTCTGGCACGGTGAAGTACCGCTGCAAACGACAACACGAGCTCGTGACAACTTCTAAAAGGAGTATTTTACTTGTCACATACCGTCCGTCCAATGTTTGAGGTGTTTGTTTCATTAGGAGCTTGCATTTGTTCGTTCGAGAGCTGCGCCGAAAGGCGACGTGCCATGATGACAAGCTTCTCGTGGAAAAACACTTCCATAAGGTCAGCATCCTTTTAGTTGGTTTGTACTGTACTAAATAATGAAGTAGAAAGTAGAAGTAGCTACCGAACAGGATGACGATTATAATCTGACGTCTACTGTGGTATAACAGGAGGGTAAACGTGCGATTTGTAGGAATGCTCGTAGAGGGCAATCAGCACATGGCCGACATGGCTTTCGTGGGTTCTTGTTTATTTTTGGGTCGTGCTCCTCATAGTTGCTCGATGATAGGCTCGATGATAGGACTGTACGGAAAAATGTAAACTTCATTTTTATTAAAATATTTCTTTTTTTTTATTTCAGTCAAAATATCCGTCATATTTTTTTACCTCAAAAAGCCAAAAAAAAACAAAAAAAAAACGAACACGAATCTAAACGCTCAAGCACGCGGTTTGAGACCATAACCATGGTTTGAAACGAAGCAGGCAAGCGTTCTCTTTATTTTTTTTAAAATTATTGTTGTTTATTTATAGAAGACCAGTGGCGTTAGTAAACGATAGAGGGACTTTAAAGGAAGCAAGGGCCAGAGAAGGAGAGAGAGGGGGGGGGTGCAGGTAGCAGTCCCCCCAACAAGGTAGGCGTGTGAAATTTCAAAGCGTAGTTCTATTCCTGTAAAAATTGAGAGCGAAAACCTATCCAAAGTCAAGGTTGATCCACTTGAACGCGTTCGCAGACGACCAAGTTAGCGAAGCTCTTTACTTGTGGCGCCATCTCCCGATAGGTGCAGCGAGCAGACGACACACTCTGTTGTCTGCTCGCTACGCCTATCAGGAGATGGCGCCACAGGTAAATGTGGAGATGATGTGGAGCGCAAGTTCGTCTGCTTCTTTTGCAGAGAGACGCCGAGCTTTACTTGGCTCTGATTGAAGGATAGGGGGTAGATTTCAAAGCAAGCTGCCTTGAGGTCTACCCACTATCCATCAGTCAAAGCCAATCAGAGCTCAGCTTTCTGACGTCACCACAACCCCTGCCAAAGAAGCAGACGAACTTGCGCTTCGCATGGCGTTGCTTGGATGTTCCGCTTCATAATTCGCTGAGCTGATTTCGCATATATCGCAGATAGGCCCTTTGAGTGTTTTGCGGGTAAGTTGACGCGCAGGCATTTCTTAGAGTGTATAAATGAAATGAGTATTGTTCAGGATGGAGAATAAAAATCAAGATGATATAAAAAAAGTGATATAAATCGTAATTTAAATCGTGATATATATCATGATTTAAATCGCACGGATTTGGTTATGATGATTTAAATCAAAATCTTTTCACCAAAACAATGCTGAAAACATTTTCTATTTACCATTTGTCTATCTGTGTTTGCTTCCCATGGGAAATCAGGCGGCCATTAAAAAAAGAAAAGGGCTTTTTTTCTAGCTGAACTGATATAAATAATGTAAGGTTAATTTAAACAAAATAAATTTGATTAAAACAAAATAAATTTGATGTTAATTAAATACATTTGATATAAATGAAATAAATTTGATATAAATAAATTAAATCATATATAAATAAAATAAGTCGGATATAAATAAAATAAATTTGATGAAACAAAATAAATTTTATAGTAATTAAATAAATTTGATTAAACAAAATAAATTTTATAGTAATTAAATAAATTTGATTAAACAAAATACATTTTATAGTAATTAAATAAATTTGATATAAATCAAATAAATTGGATATAAATCAGATAAGTTGGATATAAATAAAATAAATTTGATTTAAATAAAATAGGTTAGAACTAAATCAATAATATTTATTTATTAAAGAATGATTTCTTCTCCACCCTGGTCTTGTTCAATTAAAAATATAAATAAATAAAACATGGTGGCACCTTGTAACGGGTGACATTGCGCGTTGAAAACCCAGGCTTATTCTTTACGTTCTAAATTGAGAAAAATAAATAAATAGATATCGCATTTAAAACAAAGGCGTACGCCTTGTGGGGGAGAAAAACTCCGAAGTAAAAGAGAGTGAGGAGGTTGTGGGCAAGGGCAACGACAGAGGACGAGGAGGAGGGCAACTCTTGGAGAAATGAGCAAGAGCGAGCCAGCAGCAAGAAGCCAACGCTGTGGAGGGGCACGGACGCGCTGCCGAACCAGCCGGACTGGCAACAAGTGATGGCTCCAGTTTTTGTTTTGGACACGGGACAGGCGATGTTGACAGAAGCATTGGTCCGTGATCAATGAAGCTACGAAGGATATCTCAGCGCTCCTGGGACGCAGAGCATGGATCGAACGCGTCTGGGCGTCTTCGTCTTGTGCCTCGCGATCTGCAGTGCTCGCGGTAAGCCGGTCTCCGTCGTTCTCGGGGCCCGTCGTGCTCCCCCGGCTTGTTAGGGGTTCGGCTGGGCATTGACGGGCGAGCTAAGCCTAACGACTCCGACTTGATCGCCTCCCCCACGGTACCTCGGGAAAGTTTGCCGACAGCACAGATCTGTCGGCGAAGTCGGTTTTGTGACTCTCGAGTTTTCACGCTCGAAAACTGGCGGGTCGATCTCACAAATTGTCACAGCATAGCTCTCGTAAACAATCCAAACTCCGCTAGTTCCTTTTTTCTTTTCGGCGAAAGTTGTTGACGTGCGGAATGCCGGGTTTTGATCGCTTATTGTTTATAACAGGCTCAGCCCCGACGACTCGTTTTATGAGCTCGTCCGGCGAGTTGTTTGAGTTCCAACTTAGCCCCGTCGCGACAATCTTCCTCGGGGTATTGCGGTCTAGTTTGATCAGAATTGGTATCGAGCCAGGCGTCTGCGCGGCGTGGCGCTATTTTTTTTCCACGCGCCACGGATGAATAGAGTCGTGATTTACGATTTTCGCATAGACGGGGAGTGCGAAGAAGATTCGCGCTGGTTCGCCTTGGAAGCGGCGTGTTGTTGTGCCTGTTTGACCGTGCCCGCTTTCATGGGTCGGGGTCGGGGTTAAAGTGCGTGAACGCGCTTTAGGATGCGGTCGTTGTGGCGCCGACAGTAGTCTGTGTACTACGGCTGTGCGATTCGCAGAGGAAAACGAAGCAAGCCCAACTCTGTTCTTGAGTATTTTTTATAAGTCTATATGCTCATACTACGGTCGAACATCACGTGAATAGTTACGTGAATTAGAGCTGAGTGAATTACTTGTCTTCAAGTGCATTCGGGCCCCCGAACGCATTTGATCTCTCAAGGTTGACACGAACAGAAATGGTTAATTATCGCTTCTTTATAAAAATTGATACTATTTGCACACATACACACAGAAAAGAAAAGCCCAACTGATCCAAATAAAAACTTCGATCTGAAATTAAAAAAAAAAAAAAAATACTGCTTTTTATTTTTTTTGAGAAAAATCAGGACTTCACGATTGAAGTCCTGATTTCGGTAAAGTTGCTACTTTACTTAGCATCGCCTTCATGTCATTTGGGTGTTTCTCGAGATATGTCCAAGATTTGCTGTGTCTTCTTTTGACCCCAGTCGTTTTATAGAATCCCTTCCAAGAACATGTTCATCGCATGTGCGAACTGCCTTCCATCTAGCGGCTAAGTCCCGCACAGTTTTTGGTGGAAAGAGAAGCTGAAGTGTTTCTTTCATTGTCCGGGAAATTCAGCATCATCTACTTTTTGCCGGCATTGCATGATCTGAAAAATGTGACTCCACTCACTGTTGGTCTGCTGGGGAAGCTTTGCTCTTGAAGCATCTACCCATCCGAAAAATAGGGACAATTGCCATTGGGTACTGTTTTTGGGAAGAGAGGCCTGAGGCCCAGACAACACACGTGGACTACAGTTTGGGTGTTTTGCAGTGGTCACTTTCATTCATTGATGTTTTCCTTGTGTGTTGAATCAGAAGTGTTACTGGGTAGATATGGCCGAAACCTTTTATTTGGGCGGGGGGGGGGGGGGGGGAGACGGGGCGGGGCGGGGCGGGGGGCGGCGGGCTTACATCCTTCAGCCAGTGTTTTTAATATCAACAGTTAGCCTATCCCTCTCTCTAATGTAAAGAGCATTAACGTTAAACATTTGAATAGTATTGCTTTATTTGATGGGAGTGTCTCTTTGCAACGGTGTGCTCACACCTTTTGCCCGACAGATCGATAGGAAAAGAGAAGAAAATATTTAGCTGTCGACTTATGCCTCCCGGTCAGATGTTCTCAGCTTGGCTATCTTGTCTTCCCAAAGTCTATAGTCTATTTTTGGTTAGCTGTCCACAAACTCCAATGTCATCACTTAATCACTCTCACCTTGGCAACTGCGGAATGAAGCTCTTCATGGTGCTCTTGATCTAGTGCTGGTTAATGCCTAAGTAAAATGTTGATGGAAAAATAATGTGGGAGATAAATATTTTAACACTCAATAATTGATTACTGTCTTATATCTGGAAAATTGTATAACCGATTAGGACATATGAAAATAGATGAGGAAGGCACGAAAAGCTTAGGGAGTGATCATAAGCGACTTCAAATAAAATTTGGTGCAGCAGAACCAGAGTCATAAATTCTTGAATGAGAAAGTAAATCCGCCCTAAATGACGGCCAACCACAAGAAGTATCGTAATGAATTGAGACTAGTATCCATACAACTGGGGAGAGAATGGACATATGATGATTTAGTAAACACTTTTAAAAGAGAGTTAGAGAAGTACAAAATCAAACAAAGAGGAAGAAGCAGAAGGAAACACACCAATAAGCTGGTGGGACAGAGAAGTTAAGATGGCCATAGCAGGGTGGCAAGAGGCCTCCAGGGAACACAAATGGGCAAAGATAAAAGGGGACTCACCCGTTGAAGTAGCATCCAAATGGGATACATTTCAGGAAAGAAAAAGAGAGGAATCTGCTCTAATCCAAACCAAGATTGGTAGAGCTGGAGTGCAGTGGATGATGGAGGTAAATCAGAACAATAGGAATGCAGCAAAAATGTTCCGGGAGCACATTAATGCACAGGGGAGAAAAATAGTGGGGCTGCATTGTTTATGGACTGCACAGGAGGGGATAAGTGTAGAGGGCGAAAGGCAAGGGACTTTATTAGACAAACAATCGAGGCAACATTCTCAGAACTTGAAATAGGAATGAGATTGGACAGAACACGGATGACAACACGGCACAAGACGAGAACACTAATACGGCAACTGAGACGACCACGGGGGAATGGGACACAGCAGAAAGTGAAGTACCGTCTGTAACGGCGACAGGCCCAGGTTGCGTAGGAATGAGACTAGTCAAGACATTAGGAACAAAAAGCAAATTAAAGTTAAGACAGGCAACTGATCAAATAATAATGGGAAGGGGGGGAGGGGAGAGTTACCCAATGTTTGGGAACTATGCAGAATGAGGTTACTATATAAAGTTAAGGGAAATGAGGATATCACAACATCATACCGATATAACAGTAACTTCGGTCCTGTAGAGACTAGCGATGCAGATAGTAAAAAGGAGAATGGAAGAATGTGCAGAAAACATTTTAGGTTAGCTACAGAACGGGTTTCGAAGAGGTAGAAGATTAGACGATAACTTATTCATCGTCACTCAATGTACAGAGGTGGCATGGTTGAGTAAAAAACCCTTATGGATAGCATTTCTAGACATTACGTGTTTGTATGACAATGTGAGTCAGGAATAACTCTGGGTACAGCTGAGAGAGCATGATTGAGATGCACACTTGAGTAGGCTCAGAAATAAGGTTGTTATAACATGGGGAGCAAAAAATAACAAAACCAAATGAAAAAAAAAAAAAAAAAAGATGATTCGGGCTGGGTTGTCTGCTATCGGCCCTGCTTTTTCTGGTATACCTGAGTAGAATGGAAAAAAAGTTAGAGTGCAATTTAGGTTATGATGTGTCATATATGGAAACGGGGAAAAGTAAACCAAGTTATACTAGGAATGTTTTCTGCAAACGACACTGTACTTTTAGCAGATAACCGAGATAAATTATAGAACCTGATTAAGATCTGTGGGAGGAGACTCTGGGCCTGAAATTGAGTAGCGACAAGTCGGGAATACTGTTTAAAAACAATTAGAAGGGGGATCTATCGAAAATTCAAGACATTTTAGTAGAACATGCAGAGAAGTATACATATCTGGGAGTATGGCTGAATGAGGGAAAACAGTACTTTGAAGAAAATATAGTAGAAAAAGGAATGGAGCAGTGATAAAGCATAGGGCACCATGGAATTACAATAGATATAAAGTTGCTAAGGGAATATGGAAAGGGGTCATGGAGCCGGAGTTGTTTTTTGGCAGCGCGGTATTATGCATGAAATCTGACGTCCAGTCGAGTTTAGAGACCCGGCAGAGGAGCGTGGGCGGACATGCACTGGAGGCGCATGGGAATACACCAAATGAAGGAGTGCAGGGAGACATGGGCTGGGCATCTTTCGAGGTTAGAGAGGCGATCAGTAAGTTCAAATTTCAACAAAGACTGGACTCAACTTAAGAGACACGACGGGTGAGAAAGGTGTATAAGTATCTCTACATGAAAAGTTTGAACACTAAGTGGAGAAACCAAACACGAAAACTAAACTTAAAACAGCAACAGTCCAGTCCGGGTGCAGAACCGACTACCTCTGTGAAAAAGGAAGTAAAAGAAGCGGAGAGGAAGATGGAGGAAAGAATGTAGGAAAAATCAGCTTTAGCTATGCACAGGGACGAAAACAGGAAATAAGGAAGGAGCATTGGTATGATAATTCACGGGAGCTCGTTGTTATTCGAGGCTAGAACAGGAGTATTGAGGACTAGTCCTCAATATTCCTGTTCTAGCCTCCTATATGTCCTAACTTCTCCTATATGTCCTAGCTAGGACATATAGGAGAAAGTATGAGGAAATGGATACGCGGTGTGCCATATGGGTGGTGTTGAGGTGCACAGGGTTTGCAGCCGCCCTCCCGGAGGGGGCGACGAATTTGGCAGGAGCGCTTAGGTTTGCAGACAAGAATGGAAGAGTGGATGATAAGTGCATTTTAATAACAAAGAGGAGACTGGGAGACTGGTGGAAATTATCCAGGTAGAATTGAATGACGTACAACTAACTAACACAGCTGGGAACAGGCGGGAGTCCGGGACAAAAGAGAATTGGGACTCCCTCCCTCGTGGCTCCGGCCCAAAGTGAAAGTCACAACCCTGTCTCTCATTGGGCCCGGTGTTGGGGTAACGCCGACTAGGTTTGACCAGAGGAAAATTGGCGACTCCCTCGCCGTGGGGGAGAGGCGGGGGGTGATGCTTTTAGTGTTTTTTTTGCCCGACCCCTTAAGATCATTCTGGTGATATCCCATACCGCCTGGTGATAGTTACAAACTTGCAGAGGGGAAGCCAATCGGCTTA